CGCGCTGCAGAGGCCCTCAGCGCCGCACGGGCCGGCCGGGCGGCGTCCTCTCACCTCAGCCTGCTCCTACCTGGCTGTGCACCCACGCGGGCTGGTAGAGCCCCTGGGGAAACGCTGCGTCTCGCCCACTGCTTGCTTACCTGTCTACTAACACAGACATACTTTCTGCCTTAAGGCAGGGCCCAGCGCCAGGGCCCAGCGCCAGGGTCATGGCTGGGAAACAGCTGAAAGCAGCTTCTGCACCTCCTGACTGCAGGAAGGTGATCAGGTAACTGACTACAGGTGCCCTGCAGCCCTGCGCAGGGCAGAGGGGACAGCAGGCGCCCGGGGCCAGAAATGCCCCCACCCGAGGGCCACAGAGCTCAGCTCTGGGCAGCTCTGCCAAGGCCCATGAGTGCTCAGACCCTCGGGGTGGCCGGGCTGCCACCCCAACTGGCCACATGGGCGGGTTCTGCACCCTGGCGCACCTGGCAAGGCGTGTCCCGTGCCCAGGTCCTTCAGCAGTTTCAACTTGGCGGCCTGCACAGGGACCCACCCCCAACCTTCCTATCTTCACGGAAAACTGGGGCCCCCGAAGGTGGCACCGGCTTACTCTGTTCTCGCTCGAGGCCGGCAGGGTGCACTCACTGTTCCGGGGGCCAGCGGCTAGGGCGTGGGGCGGGCACTGCTGGCCCACCCGGGTGTCGGCGGGAGCGCGCAGGGCGCTTACCTGCCGCCGCGTCCGGCTCCACCAGCACCCGCTGGCCCCCGAAGCGCCGCACGACGTCCCCTGTGCCGGCCGCCGCCTCAGTCCGTGCCGGGACCCGAAGCCGGGACCCTGCGAACCGCAGCACCGAGGCCGGTTAGCGCGCCGGCCCCGGCCCGTCCCGGCCCGGGCCAGCCCGCCAGCCCTGAGCACACGCACCGCAGCAGAGCAGAGCGCGCGTAGGGACACGCAGCCCCGCCATCAGCGCCATCTTGACTGGACCCGATCAGGGTCAGGGCGCCGCCGGGTGGCCTCCTCGCGGGGGGCGGGGCGCACCACAGGCCCCGTCACGCCCAGTGCGAGTGCCCGCGGCCCCTCCCTC